ACAGACATAGTGGGTAACGACGGTCGAGTTGTCAGTTTCGTGCGGCACTGCCGTAGCTTTTTGCCCAACTTTTATTTGTTGTTTGTTATAAGGATCGTTTTATTGTACATCGTTGGAGTAGGCAATACATTGACTAGGATACCTATTCCCTGTTCAAGTTTATAATTTCCATATCGCAACAGCCCGGCAGACGGATGACTCACAAATGAATTCCGTTGATGCCAAGTGCAGTCGACAATGCGAACTTCTGTCTTTGTAAAAAGCCGTTGAAAATAGAAGTTCGTGGGTGCTCTACCGAAACATTGTCTTCCTTTAAAAGAACTTACATTCACTTAAAATAATTTGCATGGCCAAAGTCATAAATCAGATTGAGATGTAAGTACTTACCAGATCTGGGACTATGAATACTGCCAAAGTGTATCTTACATCTAACTCTTTCATACTGATATTTTTATGTTTTGCCTCCATTTGTCTATATTGGTAAGATAATCTGTTTTCATAACTCCAGCGAAAACTGAAGCTGTTTTTTAAGCCAAAAAATCTTTTACATCGTCTATCGACTGTTAGTTAACTCCGGTTTACACGTTTTAATTTGCTTTGCAGTTCTTCAAGCCGGGTGCACGTGTCATGCTTCGAGGAACCGTAGACTCCTCTCTCGCTTCTAGGGGGCCTTACGTTGTACGGAGTCTACTACCGTTCACTGGCAGAAAGAGTAGATGCAGATCAATCCGTATGTCCTCTTTGCGTCTCAAACGGTTTCGTGTCGAGCTGGCAACCCTATCAGGCGTCATCTTGGACAAAATTTTCAATCCTCAGCAATTGGAACCTATCGTGGAGTTAGGTTAGACATTTTCGCTTATCATAAATTTTTATATCCATTTAATATAAAAGTGTTTTGGTTGACTGCTAATGCTGACTCGACTCTTTGATTTACTATTTTAAATGTGTCTAACACACTTAGACGAAGTACACGAATGACGAAAATCGCCACTTTGACAAAGCGTTCTAAGTATCACCGTTTCGTCTATTTTACCAATATGTAGAAGTTGCAAAAAAGTAGAATCTTCCGATGGTATGCATCAAAGACGAAGTAATATCGGCAAATAAAACGATATCTGGACGGACGTACTTTTCCTCCAAGTGTACTTTGGACGGTAGAGCTCATTCCATAAAGCTAGGTTTTGTTGGTGCGCATTAATTTTGACTTATGAGTGTTCCCCTATTCGGATGTATTTTAGGCGCCGGCAACTTGTCTTTGTGTTTTGTTTGAAACGCTAAAACTTGGATATATTTTTCTTACGGCTGGTTAGTTAAGTTTCTTAATCTCAATCCTCTCTTGTTATGTTCAATATGGTTTGCTTCAATAGTCACGCCTGCGTTGTGTGAATAGCTGTACTGTTGTTTGATAAAACTATGTAACTGCACTGACTGGAGTCACGAAACTTCTTGTGTGTGCTTTTTTAAAACTCCAGATCCTGACGAGAACTCGTCATCCTCGCGCCCGCGTCGGGTACCACGGGTTTTGCTCTCCCCTGGCACTGCCGAGGAGACTACTTTCCCCCTCCCTCGGGCTTTACCCTGGCGCATGCTTGCGGATGAAGCCCCCCAAGAAGCTGACAGCCACCTACCTCCTTCCAGGTGCTCCCCTGAAAAACGACCTCGAAATTGTCTTTCAAATTCTACCGCCGATGCTACTGATTCCCCCAAGGAGTACGATATCCTTGTCCTGGGACCACACCATGTAACCAATTTGCAGCTCGATGTCTTACAAAGTGGACTCGGCGAACTGGCTGACAGTATCGTGAACGGATTCTCTTACGTCCTCTCCAGGGTAATTTAATTCTTATTATTGAAGGGCTGGGACTGACCGGGGGAAAATCTTTCATTCTCAACCAGAAGGCACTCATTGTTTCTAATCTGTGCTTGAGAGAGGGTGCTGTATTGATGAAATAACGCAGCCATGCCCCCAACTATGCGAATGAATGCGCAGTCATCCACCCGAGACTGATGTTACCTCAGCCTTTTATATACCCTTTTGCGCTGAACTTATGAGGCTTCATTCCGGGAATTTAGTCCACGTCAAACAATTTATTTTTGAAAAGACTAAACATCCGAAGTGAACATTTTCTTCTTGACTGGTAAGATGAGCCTTACGGTGAGCCTTTTCTACAGATTTTTTAAGTCTGCATTTTTTCGCTTCTGTTCCATCGTTGGCCCCAACAGATGCACCAGCAAGCTTACGCACTACGCTGCCTGTCTGACCTCGGCATTTTCTAAAATGTGTTTTGTGAGGGTCTAATTGATCCACACCCACGGACGAAAATGCTAAGATTTTGAAGCCAGACTATGGGCTATTGGAAGCCATGACACTCGGTGGTGGTCCCCGAACGTATTGGATACTTACAAGCTTTCTCGGGAATACCATCTGCAGCGTGTCTACTTGACTGTTTTACTTGTCGTGGATCTATTGTTTGAAAAAAAGAGTTAGTGATAAGACACTCGCCTACAGACCGACGTTCGTCAACACTTCCTCATTAGTAAAAATCGCTGATCCACTAGTCTGAACTAATGTTTTGTGGTGACACTTCGTGCTTTATTAGAAGCTGTATTATCCTGGTTTACCGATGTTCGGTGGCCGAATGACACAACTCGCGAACCCTAGGCTGTCAACCTCTTCTACTGAGCAATGGATGTATAATTACTTAATGGTGCACTCAGCGCTCGATAGCTTGCTGAACCAGCAACTTATTGGGTTAGAAATCTTGTGAACATAACATTCGAGCTGGAACTTGTGAATCTAATAAAACCGAAAACGTGGCCAGTAAGCGTCTTATTGCCACCCTCTTCACAACCTTGATTTTTTTGATAATAGCCCTCTGAGTACAGCCTAACGTCGTTGGCAATCCTTCGTGCCTGATCTCAACGGCCCTTCGCCCTTTTCTATCTCCAAACCCGTCATCAGCTAGGTCAATAATCCGTCTTAGTTGACAACTCCAGAAACCGGCGCATGGATTGAAGAGTCACAAATTAAGTATGGTCATTGACCTACACATCTTTATGCCTGCTTCTGTAATTCCAACCCTTTTACGGTAGACATTGAACCACTATGAGGCCGTAAATCACGATTGAGGGGTGTTTGTATCCTAGGAAGATTACGAAGCGTACCAAGCGTCCTACGTTCGATTTTTAATCGATATTCGAGTCAACGCCGTTTGTGTCGCTGGTTGTACTAAATTCAACTGCACGCGCACCAAAACGGTGCACCTTTCGCATCTGACCGGTCACCAGGCGTCGATAGTGAGCCAGAGTAATTAGCTACTATTCTGTCATCCTCCAGATCCTCCTTGAATGATCTTATAATCATCCTAACTATCTGTTGTACTCATTTCCTCCCTACTGTTTCGCGCATACTAATGATGTTACGTTTTTTTTCTCTGCCCATTTTTTCGTTCCAGTCAAACACTTTCCCATGTCTTTCCGAGGGTTCTGTCGAATTGCCCAGTTCCCTCTCCCTGGCCTGCATCCTCTCGGCAGCGCGGTCTCCCCACGGCCAGGATCCTGATTCGTTGACAGTCAGCGTGCACAGATTCTATTCCCTGTGGCGGCGGTGGTCTGAACGACGTCTCGTTCTCTGCCCCTACTTGCAGGCGGTATCTTCCGGAGAGGAGAACTCGAACCACTGGATCCTTCTGGTAGGTCTCCTTACGGCACACCTATCCCTCCACGTCTATCCTCTGAAGCGTACGGTGAACCTCGTCGGTTACGACGGTCGAACTGTTGTGTATGCCTGGTGCACTTTTGTCACTGATCCTGCGTCACGTAGACAGTCTCATTCCCATCCGCTTGCCTCGGTAGGCTGGTTGAGGTCGATGCGGTTCGCATCGGATGTTCATTTCTCCCAGTACCGACCAACAAACGCAACTGTAATCTCAAGATCTTCGGAGGATTGCTGGCTGACGGGCTAGTCCCGTTAGTCGTGGGATTGAAACTCGGGCCGCAATTGCATCTTCGTACGCTGGCCTTTATTTAAAGCCAACTTGTGAGATCTAGGGCAACCTCTTTGCATTACGTCTGCTGATTGTGAAGTCAGAGAAGAGTTCGTCTATGACTTCTGTAGGCCAGCTATTTGGCTTTGTCCATTTTCATTTCTGACGTGAACGAGCAGAATGGAGTCCTCCGAAATGTTGTCGAGTGTTCTTATTTTACTCTTAATAATGCTCAAGGCGCCGATCTACTTCGTCGAGGTACGTGGAGGACACTGAAATAAGTGATAACGCTACAGGCTAAATTAATAGGCTGCTCCCCCGACACCTTCAAGGCCAGTCTCTCAGTGAATTTTTTAGCATCTCATAAGACATAAGTCTGGTGTTCTGATCTCTCAACCGGTGAAGTCGACGTTATTAAGGGCATTATAGCCTTCTTTAAAAAACGGACAAGCATGCTTT